TTTTTTTTGTTTTGTTTTTTTTATATACAAATAATGCTGTGTTTTTTTTTTTATATATATTTCTTTAATATAGGATTTTCAAGAATTTTCTTTTTTTATATTTTTTTATATGTAATATTTTAAATAAAATAAAATAATAAAGTTATAATAAAATATTGATTTTGTTTATTTGAATAAATTTCATATATTAAAGAGGTATAGCGATTTAGTGTAGTTGGTTAGTTGTCACCTTCCCAAGTGGCAGGTCTAGAGTTCAAATCCCACAGACGACAATTTTGAAAAATGGATCTGCGTATAGTTAATGGTTGTCAATTATCAGTTGGATTTTAATCTGTAATCTCGGTTACACCATCTAGTAATAGGAGCTTTGGCGCAATAAATCTAAGAAACTAGAATAACTGAAAACCTGTTTGGCAAGTCCCGAGTTGGGATGTAGCAATGATCTTCAACGGTACCACAAAAGGGCTGAATTTGAACTGGGGCCCGAAATCAGAGAATTGAGCAACTAGGTTCTATGGTGGAGGACACACCAGCCGAACCGCCGGGTTGTTGCACCGGAGGAAAAGGGCATATGCTCTGAAAGTATGGACCAAGGGAGAGCGTTCTTCAGGCACCTAAAGCCTGAGCAGACTGACCTATCTGGGTTGCTGACTGGAAGTAAGAGAGGGACCGATAGAGAATCTGGATAAGGAGACAGTTCCAAATGTGGGTACTGGGGTTGTTGGGAACCTTACAAAGACAAGAAGTACGTAATGGGCAACTAATTAAGAAGGTTGTAGCTTGAGATACAGATCAGGTTATGGCAGCACCCCAAAAGTTGGCTTGAGATACGAACTTGGTAACAGCAGCACAACAGGTACTAGTTAGAAAGAAATTTCCGAACATGCAGATAAAAACATATATGAGACATGGACTACTCTGTTAGGTTTACCTCATGGATAGATTAGCTATATATAGTTAGTTAGTCTTAAGACAAGGAATTGATAAATCCAAAAATAGTTAGTAAGTCCTAAGGTAAGGTGCGAAATCTATAGGTGTCGCAAAAGCTACTATCGAATAGTGAGTTACACCTTGGTTAGGTAGAATATAGCTAGCGGTTATAACCAGAGAGTTTAAATGGGTACCCCCCTAGTTGGGGTACAGGTACAGCAAATAGTATAGAACCTTTGGGCGGACTACTTAAATTAGGCACTCAAAAGGTGCATGTGTGGCTATATATACTCTCATTGTAACTAATATATTATATATCTACTTAATAAAAAGTCCCTAGGCTGTAGAGATTACTTTAACACCAAATATATATATATATATAAATAAATTTCATATAGTAATATAAATTTAGTATTTTCGAATTAATTCAAATTATTGTGAATAAATCATAAATTAATACTTTTTAAATATATTTATATAATACATTTTTATTAAATTATTTTGAATTATGCCGAATTAATTCTAGTATATTCAATTTAATTCGAAACAGTACAATATTTTTGTTTTCTTATAATTAAAGTTTCATTATTCATATTACTACTTATGTCAGTTTATACAGCATAGTTGCGATTTGATATGAAATATTGCGATTTAATTTGCATAATATTGTGTAATTTATTACATATGTATTTCGTAATATTCTGTAATTAATAATTGTATAAGATTTTACATCATTGCAAAATTCTTGCACAAGATTTCAGTCTGTAATAACTTATATAAGATTACGTTTATATATTTTGCTGATATATGAGAACTTTCTGAACTTATAGCAGTATACAAACATTATATTATTTTACTTATTGATGAAGACATTTATATATCTGTTTATCTATTATAAATCGTGAACTTGTATGTATATATTTTTTTAATATTATAATAAGTTTACAAGCTACTAAATTTAATATTAAACTTATTGCTAAATAATAGTATAAAGACAATATATATGCTTAAGATAATCAACTAAGTTTGCAAGAGAAGATTATTGAAATAGCAACATTATTTCAGAATACTAATACTAATTATACAGTAAATTTTAATTTGCATATATTTGATCAGTTTAGAGCATCATGCACTTTCACAACTGAAATTAAACAACGTATACAAAAAAAAGTCAAGTATGCATCTAGATTTGGAAAAACAAAGACAGCACTTGATATAGGTTGTGAAGATAAATTTATTAACATAGTTAATAACTTTATTAATCGAAAAAAATGTGGTACTAGCAATGCTAATGATGAAAACAATGAAAGTTTTCATATATTGAATTCTTTAGTTGTGAAAAAACATGGTTATCCACCAACTAAACATATTAAGTCATCAGCAAAAAATGATTCACATTATAGTGGTACTAAAACAAGTATTAGTGCAATTAATCCAAATAATTCTAATTTATATATCTGCAATACCAACATGCAATCAAGAAGTAATACTATACAACAAATATGAAATACACAACATCAGCAAAAATATATATGCGTAAACTTTCGTAAGTTTTTACGGTGCGTAAGAAAATCGTAAACCTACGTAAAAT